AAATATGTAGTTTTTTTCTTTTTCTTTTTAATTATATGACCAAAGGTAACATGGTGCATGGCTGCATTTGTTCAGTATAAGACATGATTTCTCATAGACCAGTCTGAAAACAAATAACTATAAGATTTCACTGTTATGGAAGACATTAAAGGCAGGGTTGGTCATTCTCTCCAGATACATTTTTTTTTAAGATTTTGGTTGAAATTGTCTTTAGGTCCTGACAGAGATCAATAACTCATGTGCTCTGAAAAAGGAACAAAGAAAATCTGTCATCTGTATCATGTTGTAAGCCTGTAAAAACTTCCACCAATGTCTCCCATGAGGTACCAATCTGATGAACCAATCACAGCCTCCCTACTGTGAGTTTGTCGTTGTGAGTAGTAAAATAGTCACCTTTTTTTTTTTTTTTACATGTATTATGATAAAGTTTAGAGTTTACTTATTATTATATGCGTAGTTTCTACACGATGCAAGTAATGAGCTGAGGTCCGCTTTTGGACCAACAGCGCTTGTGCATGTTAGTGAGGGGCGTGGCTTTTGAGGGAGCACAGAGGGGAGGAGGGAGGTGGGTGCAGACGAAGCACAGAGGGAATGCTACTTTCAAAATCATCTCCAGGGGGAGAGAGCGGGGAATGATGACATGAGTGAAAGGAGGCAAAGGCCGGATTTGAACCCAGGCCGTCTGCTTGATGGACTCCGTACATGGGGTGCCCCTCATCCTTTTTTTTAACAGACAAATATTTCACTAATTAACAAATTCTGCCATGGAAAATGTATGAATAAAACAAAAAAAACATTTTGGCAGCATGTAGCTGAACTAACAATATGTTACTATTGTTAGTTCACGGCTGTGGTTTCAGACATTACAAATAATAATATAGAAATAATCAATCTTGTGGCTTTTGTTGGTTATAAACAACCACCTGTATTCATTTCAGTGTGTTTGGTAGTCAGCTGAAAACTCCTCATAGTAGCTTTAATATGTAAATACGATCATCTGCGTTATCTTGATTCTTTCGCACATCTTTTTGTATGAGCTTACCTGTAAGTCGGTGTTGATGTGAGCCAGTTGTCAGCAGAGCTTTCTACCCTATGTTTGTTGATTTAAAGTCCGATGTTCATGTGATACGACTGACATGTGAGAGCTGTGTTTGAAACCTCAGCTTCATTTCCTTTGTGCGCTGATGTTTTGTTGTTGTTGTTGTAGCCTCATTAATGCTGACGCTTGTTGTTTCTCGAAGTCCGGCTGCTGTTTGTGAGGCGACAGTTAATGGTTGTAAAAGCGTATCAGAAACAACAGGAGGGGAAAAAAGTTTGAGAGTTGAACACGAGCCTCGTTCCAGTCGAGTTTACAGGCGGTAGGATCATTTGTCAACGTGGACAATTGTTGTCACAATATTTTCTATAAGCAGACGCACGGACTGCGTGGAAGCTGCTGCTGTCAAATAGCTGATGTGTGAAATATTGTGACACTCAGGGAGGAAAAGAAAATGGACTAATAATGAACAATAACAGTGACAGGTAGAAAATTCTTCAAATGATTCAGAATGTCTTTGAAACTGAAAACATTTTTAATTATTTCCACTTTCAAAAGGGAATCCCTCAACAAACTTTTTGAAAACTAAACTGTTTATTTCTTATATTTTGAACTGAAATCCTATTGATTCCCCCCCCCCCTTCTGTCTGCATTTTATTACTCAAATAACCTTTTCTTTTCTTCTTCCCTCTTTATAGTGTGCATGTGCACTCCTTCTTTGGGTTGAATGTTATTTCTTATCTCCTGTAACAAAGCTTCCTCTGCTGGATTAATCATCCATAAATAACATGGTATAAACTGTGAATAAACTGAGTCCTCCCCGTCTAACAGGACATTTGGGGTTGTAGGTAGAGAGGAGAGCAAAAGACTGCCCCCTGTTGGCTCCCTCTGTAAGGTGTCCAGCTGTGTCAGGTTGAGATTTAGTGACTTTGCAAATAAAAGGTAAGTTGAAGTAAGACATGCTTGTGTGATTTTTCAATGATTGATGCATGAAGACAAACCAGAGCAGAGCCTGACAGCTCACCTTCTTCTTCCTCTTTTTCATCTATCCCTCTTTTGCTCTTATCTTTGAACAAATATTCTTTCTTTTTTTCCAGGAGACTTTTTGTCTTTGTTCCCTCCCATTTTAAAGTCTTCAAGTTAAGAAACGCCTCTTATGTCAACGTGTTTCATATGATGCTGAAGTGACATCATTGCATGCACAGAGGGGGCTGTCCCTGCACTGTATCTGCACTTTTAAATCTTATATCACAGGTTTGATAATAATTTGACTAAATTATTTTACTTCAGAATTAGTTTTATTCCCTCATAGAAAAAACTTAAATATATATAAACCAATATGTAAGGGTTATTTGTCATTTGTGTTTACAAGTGATAAATATTTATGTTCATATTACCTCATGATGACAGTTCTTTTCACATGTCTAGTCCTCATAAGTTAGGGTCTAACATAATACCAGTATGCATTCCTCTTTATTCCTAGACCTTTATTTTAATCATCACTGTTGCTATGGCGACAACCCCATACGACCTCTTCTGCACATGTCCTCCTCATCCCATCAATCAGACGTGACAGCCGTCACTCATTCACCCTGGCCAACAGCACAACCATGCAGTGAGTGTGTCCTGTGTGTCGCCCCGACCTGCTAAATGCACACACACACACACACACACACACACACACACACACACACACACACACACACACACACACACACACACACACACACACACACACACACACACACACACACACACACACACACAGCATCCACACTGTACTCAGTGTGTGTGTGTGTCTTTGTGTTGTCTACCTCTCAGACTCTGCAGACTCGGTGCTGTGTGCTCATATCGAGCCGGGGCTGCTGCAGTTTTCTCACATGCGTGGGCTCCAGCGTGACAGATCTGGGTCTCTGCTGATGAACTACTTGGCTGTAGTTGAGGCCATTACCGGCACGTCACCAATGCATGAAGAGTGTGAAAAGGATCAGTAAATCAATACGGCAGAGATGGCGTCTACCTGGATAGAAAAGCTAATGAAAGTATTTTTTTTTAAAAGCAGTAAAACCTGATTCTAAGCACTGTGTTTGTGCGTACTGTTAGCTTTTCTGCATCTACCTATTTGTGCATGTGTGTGCCAACTCAGCATGCATGTGTGTTTGAGCCTTTGTCTGCCTGCATGCTATTATTAGCGCCTCGCTGAAGACTGGCTCTCTCTGGACACAAAGCAGGTGATAAACGAGGATAGCTGCACTCTGCATGTGAGTGTGTGTTTGTAAATGTATGTGTGTACATGCGGGAGGTTTTAAAATCGGTAGCGTCAGTCATTTTACTGTAAAGGGGGGGTGAGAGTGTGCTGTGGATCCAGATGCACAGTTTTCTGCAGCTGTATAGAGATAGAGAAAAACCGGCACAATGTGGTGTCTGCCAGCCAGCAGTCAAAGAGGATTGGAGATTAGCCGGCTGCAGACACAGTCGGTCAATCAGTCAGTCAGGGAGGGAGGGGAGCACAAGAAAAGCAAGAGGGCAGTGTGGTCTCGGGGATTTTTCCTTTTTTTCTCCCCCCTCTCTCTCCCCTCCTTCCCGGTCTCTCCGGGCCCCGTCGCTGATTTGAGCCTCCAGCTGGCTGCATGTCGCGGCTCTCCTTTTTTTTCTGCTTCATCTGTCCCTCCCCCATCATCTCTCCTCTTTCTCTCCTTCTCTCTCTCTCTCTCTCCCTCTTTCTCTGTCTCTCTCTACCCCAGCCAGTGGAGATTAAATGTAGCTCTATAAGCCAAAGCACATCATGTAGCAATGTTTCTATGGTCCCTTCTCTCTCACACTCTCTCCCCCTCTCTTCATCTGTCACTCCTTCCTTTCTTGAAGTAAATGATGTTTGCAAAAAGATAAGAGAAAAAGACAGAAAGGACTGCAAAAGTGGACTGTTTTTTTTTGCATGCAGAAGAGAACAGAGGATTTGTTTTATGGGGTGGAAAATGGACAACGGCAAGGTGGAAAAAAACAACGGAAAGGAGGACTACTTTCTCTCTACATCCCCTCCTCCCTCCTACTCTTCCCCCCTCACCTCTCTCTTGTCTGATACAGAGGAAAAGTGGGCCTCTGGCAGTAAGCGATTACAGCTGTGAGGCAAATTAATGGATGATATCCCCCCCCTTCTTTTTTTTCTCCTCCTGCCGATCAACAGGGTAGAAGAAGGGAGCAATAGCCAGAGGTGGGGAGAGTTTAAAAAAGAAAGATTGAAAGAAAGAGGTGGAGTACTAATATTGGGGCGAAGTAGCGGAGGAAGGGGGAGGAGGGAGGAAGGGGGGAGTTATGTTTTTTTCCTGTCTTCCCTCCTTTCCAGCTCTGCATGCGATTGAAAGAGAAAACAATGCGAGGGGGAAAAGGGCGAGGAAAAAGAGAAAGCCGAGCCGAGACAAGAGATCAGCAGGCACGTTCTTTAACTTGGATTTGTGTGTGCGTGTGTGCTAAAGACTGAGAAAATGTGTGTGTGTGTGTGTGTGTAAGAGGATGTGTGTGAGAAAGTGTGTGTGCATTTTTTGTAGCTGACGCGGAGGTGCAGGTTTGGTAAAAAAAAAAAAAAAAGAGTAAGGTGCAAGGAAAGGCAAAAAAAAGCATATTACAGTTTTTGAGTCTGAGATGCATGCAGGTGTGTGTGTGTGTGTGTGTGTGTGTGTGTGTGTGTGTGTGTGTGTGTGTGTGTGAGAGTGTGTGTGTGTGTGTGTGTGTGTGTGTGAACCCATTCCTCACCCCCTACCTTCCCTCTCTCTCTCTCTCTCTCTCTCCCTTCGGTAAGGCAGCATACTGGTATCTGCTTCACTGACACGGTGGCCCGGCATGGCTGCTAACACTGATTCTCGGTGCTCGCTCTTTTTTTTTCATTTTCCCTCTCTCTCCGTCAGTGACTCACTTTCTCTCACCTTCTTTCCCTTTGCCTGTCTACCTGTTCTTTAGGTAGGTAACATTGTTCTTATTCAATGTTTCGTTTTCTGGTAAAGCGTCTCGCGACTCGCCTCCTCTCCAGACTGCTCGCTCTTGCTCTGCATGTGTGTGCGTGTGTGTGTGTGTGTGTGTGTGTGTGTAAAAGAGAGAGGGGAGCAAAGAGAGAGAGAGAGAGAGAGAGAGAGAGAGCGAGACTGTGCACATGGTTCACTCTGGCTCACGCATCCTTATGCCTCTCTTTCTTGTCTGCGTCCGTCGCTCCTTTGCCGCTTATCTCGCCTTGACTCGAAGACGGTCAATTGGACGGATCTCTCAGTCCTGTTTTGTGGCCAATAAAACTTCTTCTCCTGAAATCATTGCTGGAATCTCATTGGCGTGCTGTAAGTTAAAAAAAATCTGAGATCTCTCTTTTCTCTCTTCTTTTTCTTCCCCTCCCAAGCAGGAAGCAAGCAAAGAAGAAGAAAAACGAAGAGCGAAAAAGGGGCATCGTGGATCCTGAAGGGGAGGGTGAGTCGATACCGAACGAATTCTCTTCCTCCTCACTTCCCTCTCGGCTCCCCATCTGTTTCCTAAGCCTCGGACCACCATGGTGGCATGAAGGAGCCGCACCATATAGCTTTGTTATCTGGCTCGTCTTTTTCTCTGTCCGGAGGATTTCAGAGGACCACACCGGGCAGGGATTTGCGCTGGTAATGATTGAGCATGCACTGCAAGATTTTAATAACAGTGACAGTCGGGTGAGCATCATGTGAGAGGGGGCTGTTTGACGCTGTGCGGTCTCACAGCTTCAGATTTCGATGCTGTAATCGATGCATCCACACAGGGGTTTTTTTTGTTTTTTTTTGTCTCATACATCCTGACAATGAATAGCAAACAGTGGCTGGTGTAAAAATTTCCCCAGAGGCGGCAGTCATCGTTAGACATTCTGTTACTGCAGCAGGCTCTGTACCTGATGGCAGGGAGCATTTTTCAAAGTGCTGTATTGTTCAGCTGTGGTGGGGGAGGGGGAGAGGGAGAAAGAGAAAAAAGAGAGAGAGAGTTGGGTTGGGGGGGGAGCTGGCCAGTGTTGTGTCTGGCTGAGGTTTGCACTTGTTGTATGTTCATGTGTGTGTGTGTGTGTGTGTGGGGGGGGGGGGGGGGGCAGTGGAGGTTGCAGAGCATGCATGTAAAAGAGGAGTGATGCGTAACTGCATGTGTGTAGCAGGGAGCGCTCGCTCTCTGTGCAGGAGATGCTCAGACGCTCTGAGTCCTCATTTGACTTATGGACGAGTTCAGTGCGTATAGAAGCAGGCTCGTCGGAGAGAAGTCAAAGAGCAGCTCGTTGGGAGGAGGTAGAGGAAGTGAAGATGTATCTCTCTCTGTCCCTGAGACCCTAACTTGTGACGTTATGTTCTTCATGTCCACGGGTTAGGCTCTCGGGAGCTGAGAGGGATGCACAGCCAGCGCTATCTTCCTGCGTTCCTGCGTCGAACAATGGCGATCAGAGCAGGGAGCAGGGAAGGCCATGGCGCAGCGAGGCTATAAGGCGTTCGCCGCACGCTCGCTGTGTTACACATTTTGGTTTGGCTCACACCCTTGCAGGGACATTGCACGTCATCTGGGCTTTTCTGTTTTTCTGTCTGCTGCACTGTGCACACACGCTTACAATGTGGATAAAATGTAGATGGACTGCTGAAATCTCTTGGGTGAGGAGGATGGGGATGTGGAGGCATGTGTGTTTTAAGTGTCTTGTGATGAAGTTCAGACGGGATGAAATGAGGGTAAAGATGGATGACATGATGCTGTCTTCCTTAACTGCACAAGCCTGTTGAAACAAAGGCAACGCTCATTATAAGCCTTTGATATTTGCTTAAATGAAATATAGGTCAGGCACTTTTCAAACTTTAATGTGATCATTTTCACACTTTTTGGCTAATGTTAATTAATTAACATGATTTGAATCCACTGAGAATTTCTTTCATTCAGATTTTTTTAAGTGAGTTTGTTATAACACGCATGCTCTTAAGTTCCATAATTTAACCCCCTCAGAGGAAAATATTTCACCTCATTCAAATCCTGAATACATACGTTTTTAGCATCCAAGCTAATTATTAAACGAACAAGTAGCATACCAGTTTGCACAGGTACAAGTTTAAAGCAGGTGGGATGCTTATTTGAGAACTGTTAGCATCCTAAGCTACTAGCCAACCTCTGCTAAAAGGCGTTTTCTGCTGCTGCTGGTGGTAGAGAAAGGGCTAAAAAAGCTGGTTAGCATCAGTAGTTCGTGAGCGCTAATGCTAATGCTGCTGTGATAGCATTAGCTACTTCACAAACCAGTGGATTCTGTTAAGTGAAGAAGCATCTGTCAGTGTGTTACAGCAGACCTCTGGTGTGTGTGTGTGTGTGTGTGTGTGTGTGTGTGTGTGTGTCTGAGTGTGTGTGTTTCTGAGTGTGTGTGTACCTTTACGAAATGAGGGCAGCACAGAGTAATGTTGAGAGCGTGACCATGACAGCTCTGTACATTATGTGCTTGACCTCAGTGAACCCTCGGCGATGTTCAGGCTCACTTGCTCATGCTAACTGACACACATGTATCGGTGGCAGACGGACACACACACACACACACACACACACACACACACACACTCACTGCAGTGAGTGATATCCACTGCAGCTGCCAGGCGACAACCATGCCGACATCTATGAAGTGTTTCTGAATATGCAACTTGATTAAAGCAGAGTGGCGTCACAGTTTGTCGCTTACAGTAGCACAAATCTTGAGTGTTTTCTTTGGTTTTGGAGAGCACTTCAGTCGGTCGTAGTAGCACTGAAGTACATGGTGGCTGCTGCAGGATGTATGTTAACGTAGTGTTTTACCATGTCTTACCACGTCCTCTTGCACCTTGCATCTTGTTCTCAGTATAGGCTGTGACTCTCCTGAGATTTGCATTTGCAGCAGCAGCAGCTCTTAGGCAGCATGATCCATCGATTTATGACTTCATACTGTAGCTACTATCTGGTTTTAATGGGGCATGGCAATATTATTGACGCTCTTTAAGGATGCTTCCCTGCGTTTAAATAGATGCTTAAGCTTGTGCACTTGTGGAGTTTGAGATCCAAGGGTGGGGAAATGATACTGGTGCTAGACGTTATCTGCTGTAAGGCCCTACATGGATACATGTAAAGGAGCTATTCTGTTGTTACAATACAGAGTGTTATCTTACTTTTGTATGCATTGGTCACACCTGCTTTTTTTTGTGCAATAAAAGGTACAAGTACAGATGTTAAAATGGTAACAAAGAGCAGTTACAATGTAGTAATATCAAGGGGGTTCCCAAAGCCAGAGGATGTGAGGTTATCATGATGCATGAACAAGATAAAGTTAGTATGTGTGTGTAACTGTCTGCATGTTTGTATGGAGGCGGTGGTTTGCTCATGTAAAACTACTGTTCATATCTCAAATATCTGTGTCTCTGAAGCTTCATCTATTTGGATAAACGCCTTTTTCTTACATCAGGAGCATCACAGTCTGCTTTCCACTTGACCTTGAAAACTATTTATATCATTCCCCCTCCTTCAGTTTCATCTACCTCTCTAACATCAGCTAATCTAGGATACTAATTTGTTGCTTTTTATGTTCCTTTTCCTAAGCGTAACTATGTGATTATATGGACTTATATGGATGATAGCTTCAACGTGTCTGCACTTTTAAAATCTGCCATTCCAGCTCCTCTCTTATGTAATGCCTCTGTCTTTTTTTCTACCGAATATCTGCATCGAAATCGTCTTGTTATTTGTGAGCATGGTGTACAAACATGAACCTGGAGCAGTTTGTGTGAAGTGGGTAAAGCTGAAAAAGGGGGCTGCAGGCTTGCTCTCCATTGTTCGGCTGCTGCGCTCACTGTCTGTACACCGTGTCCCCATGGCAGAGGCAGACATGGAGGAGAGACAGACAGATAGAGCTACTGGTGGGCATATGCCAGCCTCGATAAGCTGCTTCATTGCTGCAATGTCTATTGAATTTTGTAGAAGAAAATAAAAAATAAAAAAAGGGGGGCGATCAGTTTCACCTTGAGATGCATTCTGATCCAATTCAGGCAGATTTATCGATAACATTTTTCGGCGATTAAGTGGCGACTCGTTTAGAAGCAGCTTCAGGTGTGTCAGTTAGTAAAACCTGTAATGACACCCTTCTTATTGAGATCATGCACCATTAAATCTCAGACTTCCTCGTCGAGGTTTCGGTTTAGTTTTTAGTCTCACATTTTAGGGTGTGAGAGCGGCTTTTCGAAAGCTAGTAGGTAGCTTGGTTATCGATCAAATCTCCTTTAAAAAGGTGGACATCTTAGGTGGACTGCGGATAAGTGCAGTGGACACTACAGTTCAGGTGTGGAGGTGATGCCGCAGCAGGTTGATTGGCGAAACATATCGATAATTTAGGGACCGTTCGAAGATATAAAAGGTGAAATTATTGATCGGAGAGATTGATCGCTGTAGGAAAAAGGCATCGAATGAGGCAAGAGACTGCTGGCCATAAGCAGAGACGTCTCTTTGTGGCAGCAGTGGTGCATTTACAGTCACCATCCTGCAGTTCTTTTCTGCCACTCCCTTCAACACAGAGCCTCGGCTCAGCTGCAGGCTGGAGCAGCACACCCATCAATAACACGAGCTGGTCAGTTTGTGTGTGTGTGTGTGTGTGTGTGTGTGTGTGTGTGTGTGTGTGTCTGTGTGTGTCCTACAGTATCCGTCAGCATGTCTGTAAAGTCTTATTTTTGTGTGTGTGTGTGTGTGTGTGTGTGTGTGCGTGTGAGTGCGTGTGTGTGTGTGTTTAGCAGCACTGCAGAGGGGTTCACCACCCCGCTCCTTCCAAGTCTGTCGGTGAAACAAGATGGCGTCGCAGCTCCACGTGGGCCCTCCCTCCCGCGCTGCCTCATGCGCTCTCTACCAATGGCACCGGAAAGCCAGCGGAGGTCATATTTGGAATTGTTGCACACCTGGGGCATATTTATTCCCTCATAGCTGAAATTGCTGCGACGCTTCTCTGTGCTGGAGCCCGGCCGACTTCAGGAGATTTAGGATTTGGGGCCGATCCAGAGCTTTCATTGTTTTTCTTGGTTTCTTTTTTCACGCAGTCTGTGTATCGGCTGCCAGACTGTATGCTGTTTTGGCTGCGATGTGGGCGGTTTAAAATGTTCTGGTGGGGTGGACGAGTATGTTTTCAGCATGATTCGTCTGCCTGACTGCGTGTGTGTGAGAGTGTCAGTGTGTGTGTGTGTGTGTGTGTGTGTTCTCCACGTCTCAGGCTGAAGCTAAGGCCAGTTTAAAGGAGCTTGGGGATTGTGCAGCCACACCACAGCAGCAGATTAAACAAGCTACACTGTAACCTCATTAATCTGAGAGACACTAATGTCACTAACAATGTGTCTGCAGTCACACACAACCTCACACACACACACACACACACACACACACACACAAATGCATTTAAAGCTGCTCCCTTTGTCTGCAGCTCACTCAGGTAGTGATAGTGATGACTGGAGTGTCTCTGCTCCGGGTCAGGCTGGATTTATTGATATTCTGGAAATCTGGCCATGAATCAACATTTAACTCTTTGCTGCCACATCAACTGTATTTTTTTTATGTTTAAAGTAAGAGACATTTATGCAAATTAACATGGGTCAATGTTTTGAATAGTTTTCTACCACCTGAAAGCAGGAAGCTGCAGATTTGATCAGCTTTTGTGTTTCTTCGAAAAAAGATGTGATTTTAGAGTTTCTTGTTATTTCTTCAGTTTTTTAACTAAGCTGGCATGGTTTTTAAAGACTATATGTTTTTTCTTTTTGATGATGATGATGATGATAATTAGGGGTGGGAATCACCAGGGGCCCCATGATACGATATTATCACTATACTTACGATAGAGGATTTGATATTATCACGATACTTGAGTCACAATATGATATTATTGTGATTTTAAACATTTGAGACATGCGAGAAAACATATTGCAATTAAGCTTTTTAACTGCTTATTATGTCCACAGAATTAAACTAAACCAAGAACTGTTTTGTCAAATAAGAACACATTCTCAGTCTGTTCATCTCCCTTCAGTCTTTTGATTTCTACACGATGTGAATCAAGCCAACTGACTGACCAACACAAAGTCAAACCCTGTGAAAGGTCACATGCTCCTCACAATCTGAACTGTTAGTACTTCAGTCTAATCCAACTTTAAACATACAACTTGTTCAAAATGAATTAAGCAACCCCTTCAGCAATTAATAATTAAAAAGCATATTTGAGATTAATATAATAAAAATATCGATACTTGGCGGCCATGAGACGATACAATATCGCCACAAAAGATATCGTGATACTATGCTGTAATCGATTTTTCCCCCACCTCTAACAATAATGATGATGGGAACATCATGTTAGGGAGAACTTTTTTACAGTGATGTTTAAATGTTTACATACATGTCTTTCTTTACAGGGTCGTACATCAGCATGCACATCATTGTGAGATAATGGAGATGACTTTTTTGTTAGAAAATTTACTTTTAACTTTTTAAAATTTAAGGTACAACAATTATTGTACCTTTGATGCTGTAGTTAGTCCATCAACTAAAATATACTCTCTTGATTAGTTCATCTGTTTTATTTATTCTAAAGCAAAAAATGCAGATACTTCAGGGATGTCATCATCGACCAACATAATGATCACTGGCTTTTTTCACTATGTTTGGATATTTTACAGACGAAACATACTTTCTTGGCAGGGAAGAGACCATGACCAAGAAGGAGGTTCACCCATGCAGGGCCCAATCTTTGCACCCCGCTGGGCTGACTTATGCTCAATTGCATATTTCTGTGCTGTGGGGGACTGCTTTTGTGCTGTCTCCTGATATCTTATTTCAAAAACTCCCCCCCTGGGAAAACAGTCATGTATTTCTGATTCTGAAAAATTGTTGGTTTCACACAACTTTTGAAATTGCAACATTATATAAAAAGTTGTAGATTAGCTGAGTTCATCATTTCACAACAAATGCAAAACATTCTAACATGTATTACTTCATACAGTATGTGCCTTTATTATTAAATTCTTAAACTACATTTTGGCCAAAAAATAGGACACTGGTTACTTCCTTCTATCAAATTACATTTTGTTTTTTTGTTTTTTTATCTTGTCTTCTCGTTTCTTAGAGCACATGTTTATGAGCCAGTCTCATTAAGAAGCTCAAAAAAGCAGAGGTCACATTGTAAAAGATTTTAGACATGACGCTTTGTTAAGCTCAGTGAGGTTACATTAAGCGTGTCGTTTGTATAAATACAAGTCCACTGTCACTTTATTTTTGTGTTTTATCGCTTATGTTGTACCAAGTTATGGAAAATGTTAAATCAAACGTTCATTGATTAGTCGTCAACTCTGCAGAAACTAAAAAATTCATTGCCAACTATTCTGATAATCTCTGGATTGGTTTCAGCAGTTTACCTCTGATTTGAATCATCTTTAATATGATTATTATCTCACTTTTCTCCTCCTGATAGTAAATGAAGTTGTGTACAAACAAGAAGATTGATAACATCATGTTAAAAAAAGTATGACGCATTAATAAAGAAAGACAAACAATAAAAAATAACGTAAAGTCGTTAGCTGCAGCTCTACTCTACAGCTATGTGTTGATGCTAATCACATCACATTTTAAGTTAGATATGCATTAAATGTAAATATAATTAATTATAATTCAAATAACCAGATATAGTTTAAATGACAGCAGAGGAAAGTTTTTACTTAATTATTTTAGTTTTGACGTGCTTTATAAAAGGTCATTTTTCACTACATAAATCACTTCTTCCTGGTGATAAATGATCGTAAGGATGGAGCCGAGATGTGAGAGCAGAACAAGCGAACCTTCAGAGGCCTGGTACTGAAATAGAGACGTCTTTAACTGTTGTGTCTAAATAAAGCCTTGATGCTGTCATTTCACACGATTGTGATTCTTTCAACTGCAGTGTTTATTAATAGAAACTCAGGATAAGTTATTTGATTCTTTTTTTCTGAACAGATATGTCATGTTGCATATCTTATATTTCATCTCTGGAGGTATTTTTATATACTTTTGAACGTCTTGAATCTGTGTCAAGCAGATTCTTCTGATCTTAGCCGTGATTTTTGGTTTCTGCAGAGCTGATATGACACATTACAACTTCCTGTCTGCTGACCACATAGACAAAGACACGGGACGGCACATGAACTGAGAGTTAAAAAAAAGACAGATGACTGCTAGATCACAGTTGTCAGTCTGCTTGTTTTCATATTGTCTTAAATTAAGTGTATGGATATTACTTTAATGGGTTACAACACCATAATAATACATAATTAGTTCATGTTGGTCATGGTATATAATTAGAGTAAGTCATTTGGGAATAAGTTTGTACACATATTCCTTTATGTTTCATTTAACTTCAGTCAGAGTGCTGGATGTACTGTACATACTGTATGTGCTGCACAAAGGGTTGTGTCTTCTCTCTCTTTCAGCCTGTTAGACCAGGTCAGGACAAGTCGAGGAATGGTCCATTAGCGTGAGACGGATATGACACCCAAACGGATCAAGCTTCAACTGCCCCTACACGAGTATACAATTATTTACGGGGTTTACATGATACCTTGACCAGGATGTACTTACAACTGTACTGTACATGTTTTCTCATTATTAATCTCTGTCTTGTATTTTCTACTGTGGCTCTGGAGCCAAAAGATTAATTTACAAAGTAATTTCAACATTTTTAATTTTGTAATAAAGAAAATGTTTAATGCCAATAAAATGTTTATGAAAAATGTCTTCTTTTTGTATTTCTTCAAGTTATGAATACTGAATCAGATATAGGTCAAAATAATACCAAATGTTAGCAGCAAGCTACACGTAGGCTGTGTCCGGAAATGCATACTTTCATACTATTCATGCTAAATACGATGCCACATTGAGTATGTCGTGCAATCCAAAATCATATAATGCAATTTTGTGTATGCAAGAAATGCCAGGATGTACACTAGATGTGCCAGAATCTTTAAACGATAGCACACTGGTCATACTAAACCGCTCAACATTGCTCGCAGCTCTCACATTATCTAGCTCCCCAGCTAGCCAATTAGAAGCATTTAAATGACGGTAACCATCCTGTAATACGTATTACACGTTGTCAAATTATATTATAATGACTACTCAGCTGTTTTCGTAATAAACAGATGTATATTGTTATTGAATTCTATTACAGTCCGGTTATCTTGATGCTAGCGTATAAAACGTAGCTCAGACCGGATGTATATAACGTAACAAGTTCAGTATATTGCTAACAACATGCTAACGATTAGGTTTTTATGCGGTTTGCAGTACATTAGTATTCGGTTTCGGACACAGCCTTAATCATGATTTTCACTATTTTCTTGGTTTATGCTAAAAGTTTAGCTAACATTTAAGCATGTTTTTTCTATTCTTGTCATAACAACCTGTTAACATGAAGTAGCTACAGCATGCTATATTAAATAAACACATAAACGGCCTATCAGTGCTACTGTAAATGATGTCAAGGTCTATGCTAATGCTTTAGTTTATGATGCTTTTAATTAACAGCCTTAATGCTAACCCTTTGACAAATGCAGTATATGCCATGCTAACACTTAGCACACTTTGCTAACTATGTTTAGCTAAGTTAATTAAAGGTTTATGCAACACTTCGTTTAGGTAGTAGCTGATCATGCTAACAATGCCATACATTTTATTCATCCCTATGTTATATAATTTAAAGGTTTTTGCTAACACTGTATCACGGTATGCCGTATCATGCTAGAATAACACCAGCATATATTTTTGATTGATCTGTGGCACACTGATTTAAAAAATATATTTTGTGTGCAACTACACTCTTAACAACCTGACACAATTAATATTTAGCACTAGCACACAGTAGTGTTAAATTGATGGTAGCATTTTAGCATGTTCTATGCTAAGTGGTTGTAAGAACCATGCTAGCATTTTAGCAAACAATAATGGCTGTTTTTTTTTTTTAACATAGCCAATAACTCTATTTGATAGGTTTACAATTTAAGGATAAATATTTTTTAATGCTTACATATTAGAAGACAAAATGTTACATTAGGTTTTAGGCTTTTATTAAACTTTATTATTTAAGCTAGTATTTAAACTTTTCCTTTTATTTTATGGCTCAATGCTAACACTAACATGAAGACCCTCATCAAAAGCTTCAACATTATAGCATTGATGGTTAGTCTCTCTGGAAAGCCCCACACCGTCACAATGCTGAAGATTATAAATCTGAAAGTTCATTCCTGGAGTTTTTTAGCAATGAAGTGTCAAGTTTTTGTGGTGTTCATTCAGCCTCAACCTGCTTCCTCTTCCTGAGTGATTCAGCACATTTCCAAGAATGACTTTCAGCACTGGAGCGTTCTTGTCTGGACTTGTTGGAGCCAGATTTTGTTTTGTTTTGGATAATGTGACAATGAAAAGTAAAGTATTAGCACACGCCGCAGGACTGATGCAGCAAGAGGGTTTTTAAATGTAACAGAGAAAGCTAAATCATGTCCTGTCATCTGAAAGATGTTGACATAAGGATGTTCAGCATCAGAGGTTATTAATGAGTAAAAAAATATGTATATCTGCCAATGAAGCAAACACATTTTATTGTTAGGTTTCTTGAAATGAGATAAACTCACTAATTCCGACAGTCAAAAGATGTGTACTGTATTGGCAGACTGTTTACTCATTACAAGCAAAGCAGACCTTATTTTTTTATGTCTTGAAATTAGATGTTTAGCTGGATGTGTCCAGTGAATGTGGATTATATTTAGTGTAATGATTTAAGTTGTACTAAAAATTACACAAATAGGAGTTGAGTTGTTGTAGTGTATCATGCCTATAAGGGGACATGACGTTTGATAAATGAATCTGGATGTTGTCTTGTTAATAAGAGATTTTTTAATACCACCATGTACCATATTTGTAAACCCTTGCAATCTCACCCTGCCACGACTCATTTCTATAATCTGTTTTATGCAAAAGTGTGATTCAAAGTTATTGGTAGGACAATATGAAGTCTTGAATAGAAAAATGTTGGTCATTTTAGATGGACTCTTCAGTTATTGAATTCTGCATTTCTTTATTTAAATATACAAATGTGATTTTTATGGTTTTTACATTCAGAGCCTATGTTCAAATAAAACCCTGAAATACTGTGTTGAGAGTTTTCTGTTTGTGTTTTATGAGACTTTTATTAAACTTATTAAATAAAGAACTGATTCCTTTGTGTGAGAATATGCATAAAAAGATTACTAAAGAAAAGAAAGACTTACTCTGTATTAAATGTTAACATTGAGCAGCAGAAGATAAGATAAAACCATCTTCAGGTTTGTATTAGGTGAATACGAGTAAGGTAAGTTTATGAATGGGTGAATCTTTTGAAAGTCGAAGCATTTCTTTAAAGTAGACCATCCTGTTTTGAATTTAAATAATTTCAATCAGACATTTAGAAGACAAGGATGTGTGTTTGTTTGTTACATAAGTGCAGTGATGGTGATGGTGCAGGCCGTGCACATTTCTTATTATACAACTTTAACACAGAACATGTTTTATTAGAGTGTCTGTAACATTTTGATTCCCGACTGTTTTACCACGACAGATAACTATGAGCTGCTATGGTTATATAAAATAAACAGCAGGGTGGATATCATCCTTATTCTCAGCTTTTTAAATAATCTCTTACCACACTTTTTACGGACGTATAACTATGCGGAATTTCCATTTTTGTTACGTAAGACAGAAATGTCATGAGGTTCAGCTTCAATCGATTTCACACCAAAAAGCTGCTTCAAGTGGAAACATGAAATAAGCAGCTCATCAAATGTTTTTTTTTTTTTTACTGATGGTTATGAAAATCAAACATTTACACATTTAAAGAAATTCATTCGGCCTGGGATTATTATTGAACCAAAAAAAAAAAAAATTGCATGATGAAATCTTAAACAAAATGTCAGTCCTGACTGCTGGAACAGAGATGTAAATGCACAGAGATAGAGAGAGAGAGAGAGAGCACGCAGAGCACAAAGCTGAATCTCTTCTCATCCGACATCTTTCCTTGCTGTCTCTCGCTCTCTCCATCCCTCCATCTCTCGCTCGCCCTTGCCTGTAAATCCACGCTGAGATTTGGCTCGCACACACTGGAGCTCTCTGCAGCCGAAAAAAAGTAGGCCAAAAGCCATCTGAGGACAGAGCTCGGGGAGAGACAGAGAGAGAGAGACGGGGCGAGAGGGGGGGGGGGAGGCGGCTGAGGAAAAAAAATGACTGAAAGGATCTGATAGAGGACATGAAGAGGGATATGTATTTATATCTTTGTCAACCTTAAACCCTTTTCATGGTTTCATTTAGGGCCCTTTTTTAACCCGTCTTTCAAATTATATAACACGTTGAAGGTCTTTGTTGTGAAAAGGCTGACACGCACTATTTTTAGACCAGATACCGGCCTTTTTTTAAATCTTTATTTATGAATTTTTAACTCTTAGCTGCGGTTTTATTATGTCTCTACATTAACGATATTCCTTCAGATGAGATTCCTCCAGAATGTTAACCCTAAAGCAAAGATCTTCAATGTCATAAATAAATACCTTATAGGATATATCAGGATTCTGTAGAGCTGGATTAAATCAAATATTACTCTGATCGTCTAAAAGCTTTCTGTAAGGCAGGCTCTGAACTTTAAGATGCTAAAATCAAACTTTGGCGAGATAACTTTCTTCTTCTTTTATCCTGAAGTGAAACATTTCTTCTTCTTTTTTTTAAATGACTTAACATGAAACTGGATTTATTCCTTGATTAAATGTATTCGTTGTTGTAATAAAAACAAGAGATGAATGTTAAACTTCACAATGTTGAAAATGAGCCTGTCGTCTTACTTGATGTATTTAAAACGTCTTTGTTTAATGCGAGCAGATTTCATAATTATTTTTTAAAAGTGATGAATATACATTTGAGCTGTTAGGTACTTTTACTTTTTTAAAGTGTCCTCAAACAGGCGATGGTTTGTATTTTAAAAGACTTTCTCAAGGCTTCATTTAAAAAGTTATATCTCTTTTTTCTTTGTATGAAATCAGAGTAATGTTTCCAGGTCGACACTTTTGTGTTTTCATCTTTAGAATTAAAGAATCAATCCTCGTCGGTGTCCTCTGCATTGAGGTTACAAACTCAGTCAAGGAAATTTTTTTAAACATTTTATCTCCAAATAAAGACTTGTTTAAACGCTCCCAAAGACCTCATTTATTTTATTATGTTTCATGAAAGAGACTTTTCCCTTTTTCTTAATACTCACTGTATGTGTTCATGTTCAAAATCCAGCAGGTTTGGACCCTACATATTTCAGAAACATGTTTAGGTTTTGACTGATATGGCGAGAATCATAAAATAAATGAACTCATCCCTAAGCATGTGTTATATTCTTGATGCTTCACAAACTAAATCTTTTTGTTTCTCTGATCAAGGCCGAACATTTGTTGATCCTCATTCACTCAGGGCTGCTTTCTTCAAATCTTCTTTACTTCACTGCTTTTCAGTCTTAAAGGACTTTGGCAACTTTATGCAGTTTGACACTCATCTATACACAGACTCTTAAAGTTTACACAGTATGTATGAATAAGCAGAAGGAGTCTTTTTAAAGTTTTTGGATTGAATGACATAAGATAAATATTACAGCAATGACTGCGTGATTATTTTTCGTTTTTTAATGGTTAAAAACATTACAAAAAATAAAAAATAAATGCTTAATGTCTCGAACTAGAGTTTTATTTTTCTTGATCAAACATTTGCTCATGAACGAGACAGTCTTTCAGCTGTGATCAGAAACATTTTTCAGTTTGATGATAGACTTTGGTGGAAATCAAAGATGTTTGGGTTTTTTGTATGTGGTCTTCTTTTATTGCTGCTTCATCAAGATGTCTGGTTTTATATAATTTTTAATGTAATATTTAATTTTGAAGCTTTGGCACAATTGTAAACTTTCCAATAAAGCTTTTCCTTCTTTCTTTTTTTACTTACTTACTTTCCAGTTCATTTTTAAATCTGTCGACTTAGTTGATTTGATTTTATCATTTAGATTTCATCCTGAAATCTCTGTTAGTTTTCTTGTTTCAGTTTAATTAAAACTGTTCCCACTTTTAAATTGTATCTTAAATCTGTAATTTAAATTGGTTTATAACATTTTGTTTTGACATATTGTTGTTATAAATTTTCATGGGGTTTCAAGTGATCGAATGTTCAACACTTTTACTAGTTTTTTTGCCCAAAGGCCCAAAGCTATAAACTCTTAAAGCAGCACATCAGTTTCATGCTCTGTATTGAAACTATGTTAAATTTCATCATCCCTATTAAATAAATAAATTCAAATTCAAATTGTATGACTCTTTAATATTAAAAAAAGTTGTTTTCCTTTCATAATACTCAAGTTTCCATCAAATTCTTTTTACATCTCAAGGAAAGAGGAGATGGTGTTATTGTTGTGTCTATCACATGCTTCACTGATTCATGTAGAAAATCATCTTCAGTATTTTCACATCATTTTATGGTCTGATATTTAATGAAGTCGTGTTTTCAAATTAGAAAAGACTTCCTGTTACACAGAAATTTAAACATTTTGTCTTTCTCAATTTTATTTTGACTGAGAACTTTTACTTAATTCATTACACTTTCTATAAGCCATAATCCTCTGACTCAGTGAAAGAGAAACATTTGATTTCAAGCTAACAAGCTTACAGTAAGGTCCTGAGTCGATTGATGAGAAATATCTGCTGATGCAGCAAATAAAACACGTTACAGGACATCACATGTATTAATTAACACATCTGTCACATAACTGCATTTATTATTATCATGTTACTTCAGCATCTTTTGCACTACTCACCACTGCACTGTTTCATATTTAGTCTTGTACATATCAGTCTGTGCTTATTGTGTTTATTGTTGATATTAAATGTTATACTTATAAGAGAGCAAATTAAATTCCTTGTGTGTGTAAGCATACCTGGCCAATAAAGCTGATTCTGATTCTGACAACTACATTTCTCCTGCTACACTGGCAGCGATCTAAAATCTACACAAATTATTTTATAAGATTTGAGTTATTGTTGTGATGCAGTAATATTACATTTACTGTCTTTCAACTTTATTCATTGAAATAAATCACCTTTATTCTCTTATAAATGAACGTTTCAGACAGCTTACTTTGTCCCACTCTTAAACTTTGCCTCCAAAACATTTAAGTGGAAATAATATGAACCATTTTGATTTCATTTTGTGATCATATAATGTTCAGAACACTCTTTTTTTGTGTGCATTGTCCATGAAATTGTCCATGAAATATGTTCATAACAATCATTTTGCTAAATTCTAAATGATAGCTTCCAGTCTCCTCTTTGTACGACAAAACTTAATTATGCTATTCATGATCAAGTCCAAGCTTTGTCACGGCCATCACAACACGTGAGGTTGGAAGTCCAAATCACACAGCAAAGCTTCACAAACCTCATGTCACGGTTATATTTAATATGATATTCAGAGAAAAGACTCAAATGCTAGCTCTTACTTTTATATAATGTGAATAATGAAGCATTACTTACTGCGTTGGTTCTGAATGTCACAATAGACAAAAAGATTTATGGAGCATCTGAATGTTACCAGACCTTGATTTGAAGAGACAGCTAATTAGAATCTTGCCATGGTGAACATGTTTTCAATAGTATCCACCAGAGTTTATGAGTTTATCAATGACAACTTGTTTAATAATAAGATGGTAATTAACACAGTGTCATGTAAGGTGAAAATGGAGATTTCTATTATTAACACTTTTGAAAGTAACATTTCAACATGCTGGATATGCTGTATATTATATTATTGAGAAAATTAAGAACAGAAGTGTCAGGACCTTGTCAGTTTATAGTCGCAGTTTGAGCTGTTGGAGACCTTGAGCTTATTTAACCACGGTTTGTTTTCATTCAACCATTTGTGTTGTGTTTTTATGGATGATAAAGAATTAAGTTCCACAGGCGCACTATGAAAGAAAAGTGTATTAACAGAAGATTGAATAGATATTGAGATTTTATATCAAACTTCAGGATGGTTTATTTCATTACTTTTATTATTGCCAAGTGTCTACTTTGGGTTTCTGGTCTCTTTATTATAATGATGGTGTCAT